AATGAGAAACACCTTTTGGTAGGCTGTGAGGTCTCTTTCTTACCTATGTCTACCTAGGCCTTCCTTTGGGTCATGATCCTAGATGTTCTTCGTTTTGGGATCTGATTATTGAGAAGGTTTCCAAAAGACTTGTCTTCCTGGGAGGAAGCTTTCTAGTTTCTTCTCTAGGAGGAGACTTACTTTAATTCAATATATCCTTAGTGATATTCCTATTTACTCTCTTCTTTATCTAGGATTCCATTCTCGGTTTGTAGAAAATTATGAGAAATTATTCTGTGGGAGAGAGTATATGAGTTATGGGTGGGGTGGTTCTCAATTCTCATCTGGTTAAGTGGTTAAGTGAGAGTTTGTTTCCAAAATGATTGAGAATGGTGGGTTGGGGTATTAGAGTTTTATCATGGAAGAATCTTGTTCTTTTAGCTAAGTGGAGTGGTCATGGAGGTTTACTTTAGAACGTTAGGCATTGTGGCATAGGATTTTGGTAAGTGCGGGCAACATGTTAATAAGTGGGGCGTTACTGTAGTGAACAAGGGAACTTTTAGCAACCTGTGGAAAGCAATTTCGCAGTGTCTTCTCAAGTTCCCAAAATTCACCTATATGGTTCTATGGTCCATTTTTGGGAAGAGTTTTGGATTGGTGATGCTCCCATATGTTCTTTATTCCCCCATCAATGTGTTTTGTCTTTTGTAAATAACGGTGCATCACTTTCATTTTCTCTCTGGGCACGAGCTTTCTTTCAACTTTCTACCTTAGGAGAGCATTGTTGGATAGGATGTCTTCATTGTTGTCCCTTTTTACATGGTTTTTGTGTAAGTAAGAATTACAACGAGAGGTGTATATAGACTAAATTATTTTATAATTTTAATTTAGTATTGATTTTTAACCATCGGAGCCTCCTTTTGTGATTTTGTCTCCGTTTCATTTGGGCTTTTGTTTTTCCTTTCATTTATCTTAATGGAAGTGATTCGGTGGTCCATCTATATGTATGAGTATATCAGTCGGACATTTCAATAGTTATTGGATCCCATGTTGGACGATGCGTAACTTTTTTACATAAGATACAATGTTAAAAACGAAACAAAGAAGAAACAGCCTAGGTGCCGGGGTAGAGATGACGACTACCCAAGAGAAATAGTTCAAAAAGGCTTTCCAGCCATGATTAGTATAAAAAAGACACAACGATTTCAAAAGAATTTTTTCTGCAGGGCACCATATAAGCTACAATAGAGCTCTCACCGTGCACATCCGAAGAATTCTAGCCTTATCCTTTAAGCCACCAATTGGAGAGGACCTTTACTAATCAATCCTCTATGAGCCTAGGGAAGCAGAAAGAGACCCCAGAAGATTCAAACAGTTAAAGACCACCCTACTGCATGGAACTTGCACTTGCAGTATAGAAACAAGTGATCAATAGCTTTGCCTTTTGGGCGAAGTGTAAATTGATTCTAGAATCTAGCTTCCCATCTTCCTACCATGGCATTAATGAGCCATTTCTAGCAAAGTTCTCAAATGTTTAGGAGGAAAAAATGGAGACCAGAGGTTGCAGAAGAGGATTCCTTGGCAAGAAAAGACTATGTTACAAGAAAATCTTGTGTAATCCTCAACTTGGAAATTGCGAAAATTGGTGGAATTTTGGCGATGAAGTATTTTCCAAACCTTTCTACTCTATTACTTTTTTTTTTTCTTTTAGCAAAGCTCTATTACTATATTATCAAAACACAGTTGACAAGTATACTAGAACCAGCTCCACGCTCCAACTTCAGTATTCAATCGCACGGATGTTATTTTCATTCTCCATTTTTTTGTCTTGTGTAGACAACATCACAAGTGATTTATACTATACAGTATGTTGATTGAGTTTTGACTTTCCTAGTGATTTGTTACTGATTGAAATGGTGCAATAGGGACGTGGCCCGATGCCTGCTACTGCAGGTGCTGCATCCGGTGCTGGTGCAACTGCATATGCGGGACCTCAAACTGGATCGGCTGCACAGCGATCTAACTATGATGCAGCGAGAGGACCCCAACGAGGACCCGGTTTTGAAGGACAGAGAGGATCCATTTACGATTCACAAAGACCTGGTTATGATGGACAAAGAGGACCAGGTTACAATATGCCCGGGTTACCTACTTACGATCCATCCAGAGGATCTGGCTATGATGTTCAATCCAGAGGTGTCACAGGGCATGCTGCACCTGGAAACACCGCTCCTTACGAGTCTTCGACGCCACCTGGTCGTGGTGGTGGGTTTGAAGCACCACCTCGAGGTGGAAACCCGGGTCGGAGATGAGCCTAATGTACCATCTGAGATAATCTTATGTTACTGAGTTTTCTCATCTGCCTTATCCAGGTCATCTGTTGTGCCATTCCCCAAATTTGCAAAGCCTTTTTTTGCTATGTTCCTCTGTCAACATTGATGGTAAGTTCATTATCAAATACAACTTTTCAAACTCTTGAACTAGAGAACTTCACATTTGATATCAAAGCCAAATCATTTCTGGTTCAGTGATACATCATTTGATCCAGGAATCTGTCACGTGATGAATTAAGAGAATCCAATGTTCTCAAAAGTTTTATTTCAATGTTTTCAGTAATCCCACTTTGAAATTTGTGAGATACTCAGAAATCAGATTGTACCGAGGCAAAAAGTCAATGGAGGCCTCCTTCTGGTAAAATGGCACATCAACTTCCTTCCAATTCTTTGTTTTATTAGAGATAAGGAAGAAAGCTACTTTCCCCATTTTGTTTAATGAACTTTGTTATTGGATTAGTTTATGAAAAGATAGTATTTTTGGATCTATTGAAAAACTCATCCCCACCTATCCTTGGAGAGARAAAAAAAAGTTCAATTCATCTTCTAAATGCTTTCGAGGGAAAGAAAATGATGTTAGATCGATGGCTCTAATAAATGAATTGATACGAGATTTACAATGAGATTTATTGTATCTATCATTGRTCATGTTTCAATCTCGCAAAATAATTTATTGAAAAGGAAAGAAGAAGATGTGAATTGATATGAATATAATTAACATTTAACTTGGGAGGTTGTAAGTCAAAAAATTTTGGTAAGTGTAATTATTGAAACAAGTTATAGTGCCATAAAAGAGGCCTCTCTTTTTATCAATTATTGGACATGCATCAACCTAATTTTGCAGCAAAGCTAACATTTCAATGTTCAATTGAAATGAGCATCATATGCCACCAACCCATAAAATCAATTTATGTGAAGAGAACAGATCTAGGGGTCAAGTTTTGTTAAACTATTTGAGATTTTAAAATTGATTTTATTGATATTCATTATAAGAATACAAAATATAATTAGATTACAATTTAAATGACATCTCAACAACTAGAGCAATAGCTCATCTTTACCTAGCATGATTTGAATTGAATATTCCACTTTAATAATGCATTGAAGCTGATTATTAAAATCAAATCTGCACAGATTATATTATAAATTATAATAGAGAAAAGCCCCCGCTAAAACGGTCACTTCTTTTAAGAGTATAAGAACCAAAATGAATTACCGTTTCAAAAATATATAGACTAAAAAGTTGAAAGTATAAAAACTAAAATGAACAGCAACAAAATAAACAAAAATCGAAAGTATAGATCAAAATATTATTCAAAAGGCTAAATCTTATCGAAGTTTGAACCACAAAGTTAGATTAAATCCAAGTTACTGTTTTTTTGATTAAATCAAAAGATTATATTATATAGCAACCTAGCTGTCATGACAATTTTAAATTCTTTTTTTTTCTTTGAGAAAATGAATTATTTTAGACGAATGATTCTTTTTGAATTTATATGAAGTCATATCAATCTCAAGGAAAATCCAAATGAAGTTGGCTTTCAATTGAGTTATCAATCACACAAAACCAAAACCCATTAGAATTATAATATTATCACCCACTTTCATTTACTTACTCCTTGGAAACTCTCATTCTTGCCAATACAATTATTGGACATTTTATTTTACTCTATTAACCCTGCAAGCAATAATCCACCCTCTCCCTCTTAAACAGGGAGTGGTTAATAGACTTTGCTAACAAATAATCTGCCTATTAAAAAGGAGAAGTGTATACCCAAATTAAGAAAAATGAGAACTACCATACAAAGAGAGATTTCCCCTTCAACATTCACCATAGCAATTAACTTCTCCAATCCCTCACCATTTGAGATCTCTGAGGTTCTCTTGTGTTTCATGTTCAGAAGCTTCAAAAACGAGATGATCAAAAAAAGAACKACAGCAAGAGACGACCTTTCCACGAGTAATTTTTTGACAAACCATTTTTCAGTTACTTGTTCTTGGAGGATTCACATACGAGAAAGTTTTCTTGAAGATTGTTGTATCTTTGAAGAAAAATACTGATAAATCTGATCCAGTGTATGGCATATTTTCTCTATGGATAGAATTTAAGCACACGCCCCGTCCATAATTTCCAGGCTATTCTAGCTCTCTTTTATATAATTAGTCTATTTAATAGTTAATTTTGTCTCCATTATTTCRTAAACTCCTTTTCCCTTGACTGATCTCCAACCAACAATTATGAAACTTTCTTAATCTATCTCATTAATTATCACCCACTCATTTAATCCTCTTTGGAAACTCTCCTTTGCATACTAGAACTTCCCTCTCTCTCTCTCTCCCATGTAATTAACTTAACAATCATAGAAAAAACCAAAACCCATTAGAATAATATTATCACCCACTCATTTACCCACTACCCTTTTAGAAAACTCTGCCATATCATATCTTATAAGAACTTCCCCATCTCTCTCACCTCTTTCTTCAAAACTCTCCCAAATCTCTCTCTCTCTCTCTCTCTCCCTCTCCTCATGAAGCTCCATGGCAATGAGGTTCCCTCAGGGAAAAACTACACCCTCTACAAAACATTGGGCATAGTTTTCTCTCTAGTGATTCTCACAGTGATTCCACTCCTATACAACCTTGTGAACTACTCTTTGTTTCTCCTCAACAGCTCAGCCAAGGAAGCTCCATCCTCATACTCAAGTGATGAGATTCAGCCATTAAATTTACAAGAGGAATTAGAGGAGTGTGACATTTTCACAGGAGAGTGGGTTCCAAACCCCAATGCCCCATATTACACAAGCTCCTCATGTTGGGCAATCCATGAGCACCAAAATTGTATGAAATATGGAAGGCCTGACGGGGGATTCATGCAGTGGAGATGGAAGCCTGATGACTGTGAACTCCCCATTTTCAACCCTTCTCAGTTCCTTGAGCTTATGAGAGACAAGTCTTTGGCTTTTGTTGGAGACTCTGTGGGGAGAAACCAAATGCAGTCTTTGATATGCCTTCTTTCAAGGGTAACTTTCTTTTTTTCTTTACTTCCCATTTCCAAGTTTGAATTTTTGTGAATCTCTCATCACATATTCATCTGGGTTGGTCGTATTTTATCTGGGTTTTTGTTCATAATATGTTTTTTATCTGTTTTCTGGCTCAAAGATTGATTTTTTAATGGATGTTTGGGTTTGTTTTTTGCATTTCTGAGATGGGTTTTGGAATRTATTCCCTTTTATGAAATGGGTTTTAGTAATATGCAATATTATGATTGTTTGTGCCTTAAAAGGTCAATGATTGAAATGTCATTAAATAATATAGTTGAAAATTGGAGTTTAATATTGAGATAGACATTGCTTGATAGTGATTTGCATATATTTTATTCCTTTTTAAAACATCTTCGGGAATTGGGTTTTTTCTATTACAAAAATGGTAAGAAAATCAATAAAGATGTTTTAAGAAAAATGATAAGATAAAGAAATTAAAATTATGGACAAAAATATAAATAAACCAAAAAATTATATTAAAAATTAAAAATGATCAAATCAGCTCCTAATAATTGATCAAAACTATGCTTTGATTCAATTTTCAATCAGTTTCATAAAAAGTCAAAAACTGCAAAAAACCCATGTGTGGTGTGAAAGGCATCTTGTGACTAAAAAGATTGAATTAAAAGTAACCCAACTGATAAAAGTTCACTTTTTTAGGTTAAGATATAAATTAATTATTGGGTTTAGAATCCAAATGCAATTCCCAAGGCCAATTATTTTCTGCCAAAACTTTCACAAATCTGGCTTTATCAACTAGGAAAAAAGGGCATTTTATAAACTTCAGACAGTAGATTTGATGACATAAATAACAATTACTTTAAAATTAAAGAAATAATATTACTTTTTTATTATTACTTTAAAAAAAACAAAAAAAAAACAAAGGCAATGGGAATCTTTTGCACTTGTTTGATGTCAACAAGTTTGTATTTTTTTTAGCAACACAACTAGGCCAGAGAGGAACCATGCATGTGAACCATGTATGTCATTCCTCTCTCTCTCTCTCCTTTTTTTATTTTTTATTTTTATTGAATGTTGCTTTCTAAAGCCAATCCATTGCCCATAATTGTAAATTGTTTTCTTCAACCTTCTTCCAATATGAATAATTTTGTGGTTGATGTTGAAGAATACATATCATCAAGGGTAGATAGATGGATAGATAGGATAAATTGTATATGGCAGCAATGCATGCATCACATTTGTTCAATCTTATGTCGTGAGGCTCGAAATTCAAGTCTCATTTATATGCAGTAGTGTCGTAAGTCACAAATTTGTTAGAAAATAGAGAATATCTTGACGTAATAAACTTAAGTATTTCAAAATAGTCAAAATTAATTGCTTCTAACATTCTACTCAGTAACTATGGTTATTTCTCATATTTAGAAAACAGGAAAASTATAGTTATTCCAGAAAACAAGAAAAATGAAACTTTCAATTTATGTTAGCCCGATGAAAAGTAAAAACTTACTTAAATGTAGGTCAAAACAAAATATTAAAAAAGTTTGAGGATCAAAAAAGAATAAATATAAAACTTTATAGGGGATTTGAAACCAAACTTTAATAACATTTACTAGAAAAAGAGAAAAAAGAAAAAACCTTTGGGGAAGTAATAAAATAGAAAAGTAGATGTTTTGAGCTTTTCTTGTCTAAGAGGAAAAAAACAAAGAATAAGAGGATATGCCAGCTTGATAAGTTGTGACATTTTAACTAATAAAAATACTTTGCAAAAAGAGAGTTTTAAATTATTTTATGGATAAGCCTTTGGGAATAATATTTTCTCATTAGAAAACAAATGCCAAATGGGACCCCAATTTCAATTCCCATAAAAAAGAATACAAAAATCTGATTTGTCTTCTTGTTTTTTTCCTTCCTATAGCCAAATTATATCATAAGAAAATATTATTATTTTATTTAATATTCATATTTCACTTTGATCCCTCAATTTTTAAATATTTTGCTTTTGCCTTAAAACTCTATATGAAACTATTTCAAACCTCACATTTAATTTTCTGTTAATAATTTAATAAAATGAAAATTCCACACTAACTAGTTTTAAAAAAATGAAAAAAAAAAGTTATATGAACCAAAATAAAAATTCACACATTTTATTTGTATTCATATATATAAAGCATGTGGTGTAAGAATAATGTTCACATGAAAGTGATTTTTTATATAATAACAATGAACAAGTTGCACCCTTTATTTTAATTATAAAATAACTTTCCTTTTTGCAGCAAATAAAATCTACATTATATATATATATATATATATATATATATATATATAACTTTGCACATGTATTTTTCAGACATTAAAGATTTCTCTGTTTCTCTCTAACATGTTCGCCGACAATGGTCTGATTTGTCAGAAGAGAAGTAGAATATTGTAAACATTTGACCAACAAACTTTTATCAAAGTACATACCATATTGTTGTTGAGACATTATTTTCATTCAAAATTTTTAACATTTTTATTATGGAAAAAATATGAGTTTTTTCTTTCAAATTTTTGGAGAGAGAAAGTTGATATATTTAAATTTTAAGTTTTTTTTTCAAAAAATAGACTTTGTTGTATGCCAGTAAGTATAAGTTTCTCCGACTTATTTTTGTTAAATAAAAAACTATAGTCAGATCTAAGATATAATTAAATAAACCAATAAAAAAATAAGTTGTATAAAGAAGTATGCAATCAAATTTTCTACTTATTGGTTATTGTGGGTGGGGGATCATATTTGTGATAATAATAATACTTATATCAGATCACGTCAGAGCTTAATTATTGATTATGCTTAACATTTAATTACCGCTTTTCACAAAGAAAAAAGTGTAATCATTAAATAAAAATAGTAAAAAAATTTAAAAATTAAAAAAAAAAAGTTATGTGACTAACTTTTTGATGTCTAAATGTGGTTTTTATTTTCAGTTTTAGAAGTGTTTTGATTTTAATTTTTTTCTTTTTTTAATAAATTTTCTATTTTGATGTCATACTTTTGAAAGTTTTATGGGCTACATGAAGCTTTGTCCACTTCTTGGTCCTTTAATATTTGAATTCGGTCCTCCCATTTTTTTCCTCCACCACTCAAAGCTAGGAATACTTTTTCCACAATCAACTAGTTCAATTTATTGGGACACCTATCTTCGACTAAAAAATCATAATTTTGAATCCTTACTCCTATATGTTGTCAAAAAAAAATYACTAAGATCACGAATGAATCTCCAATACGTAGAAGAGTAGAAACTTGAACCTATAATCTTTTGAGGGTAGGCTCAAATGATAAGAATTTTAGGCATATTTTAACGAACGGATGATTTCTCCTTGATTTAACTCAATCCATTCTTTCTTTCTTCTGCCAATATAAACATAGCTTATCAAAGCTTATCAAGTAAGGCGTCTTGATCCAGGTTGGGCTCGAAAACTCACAGGATATGAAAATTATAATGTTTTAATTTTGAATTGAATTGGTGTTTGGTGTGATTATTTTCAGGTGGAATACCCGATAGACGTATCCACGACAGCGGATGAGAATTTCAAGAGATGGAAATACACGAGCTACAACTTCACAATGGCCATTTTCTGGACGCCTCATCTGGTGAAAGCCGCCATGGGAGACTCCAACGGCCCCACTCAGACCGGCCTCTTCAACCTCTACTTGGACGAGCACGACCAAGAATGGACCACTCAGA